AACTAGTTCAAATAGTTCTAGACCACGGAAGACCCTCTCGATTATATTGAAGAGATCACTCTACGGATTGAAACAATCTGGGCGGATGTGGTATAACCGTTTGAGTGTATATTTGACAAGTCAGGGTTATGTGAACAACAAACTATGCCATGCGTGTTCATTAAGAAGTCACATTCCAGATTTGTGATAGTTCCAGTTTATGTCGACGACATGAACCTCATCAGAACTCCTACAGAGCTTGAGGAAATTGCCGTTCACTTGAAATCAGAATTTGAGATGAATGATCTTGGAAAAACTAGATACTGTCTTGGCCTGAAGATTAAGCATTGTTCGGATGGAATCCTAGTACATCAATTAAACTACACCCAAAAGGTGTTGCGACGTTTTAATAAGGATAAAGTGAAACCTTCGTGTACTCATATGGTTATTTAGATTTTAGATGCTGAACGAGATCCCTTCCGTCTCAAAGGTACGATGGATTTGGGCTTGCTCTACACCCACAAATCCTCGAGAGGAGTCGTCGCCCCCTTGGTTCTCGGGTTGATTCTAGCCACATTGGTTATGCAGATGCTGGTTATCTGTTTAACCCACATAGGGCACGTTCTCAAACAGGCTATGTCTTTACCGTTGGAGACATCGCAATATCTTGGAGGTCTACCAAGTAAACGCTAGTTGCGACTTCTTTGAACCATGTTGAGATTCTCGCCTTGCATGAAATATTGTGTGAGTGTTTTTGGTTGAGAGCAGTTATAAAACACATTCGAAGCACTAGTGGTCTTACTTCCATCATTGACCTTCATACGACGATCATTGAAGATAATGCAACATGTATTGAGCAGTTAAAGAAAGGATATATCAAGGGAGACAACACCAAACATATAGCCCCGAAGTTCTTTTACTCTCACTAGCAACAATAGCATCAGAACATTGAAGTCAAGCAAATTCGTTCCTAGGACAACCTGGCCAATCTCTTCACCAAGTCATTGACCAAGTCTACTTTTTAGAAGCTTGTTCAAGGAATCAGTATGTGTAAATTACCTGAGTTAAATTGCTTGTAGTTCTCTTATTTGGCAGTTATGTCTAACTCAGGGGGAGTATCCAGAAGCATACTCACTTGATCTTAATGTATTATTTTTCCTACGATTAGGAGCATTTTTTTCCACTGGGTTTTTGCTACCTAACGAGGTTTTGATGAGGCACAAATCCTGGGATGATCATACTCCGTTGAGTTCACTACTGTTGTCTCGTTTGACGTTTGTTTTAGACATTCTGCGTACTAGGGGTGGGTTCAAAAAACCGAAAACCGAAAAAAACCGACAACCGAACCGGACCGAGGCCGAAAAAAACCGAACCGAAAAAAAACCGAACCGAAATTGTCAAACCGAACCGAACCGAATCTGACCGGTTCGGTTTCGGTTTTTGAGGCTCGGAAACCGAACCGAACCGAACCGAACCGATATATATAATTTTTTTGAATATTTATAAATAGTTTAGTCATACAATTATAACAAAACAGAACTTGTTGCCAAGTTGGTTTCAGTGAAACTTAACAAGCATGGAGGCATGGGTTCGAATCCTCATGCCTCCAGGTTTTGTGAGATGATTTTAAATTTTTTAATCTTTTTATTGTAACCCTAACCCTCCTCCTTATTTTTCATTCCCCTTCCCTGCCTCTCTTCCCTCCCTCTCCTCTCTAGACTCCAACCCATCTCTCTCTCCCTCCCTCTCTCTCGCTCTCCGTCGGTGAGAAGCAGCTGCAGCTCGACATCGTCATCCCCACCATCCGAAACCTCGATTTCCTCGAGATGTGGAGGCCCTTCTTCCAGCAGTACCACCTCATCATCGTCCAGGACGGCGACCCGTCGAAGGTGATCAAGGTCCCGGAGGGCTTCGACTACGAGCTCTACAACCGCAACGACATCAACCGGATTCTGGGTCCCAAGGCGTCCTGCATCTCCTTCAAGGACTCTGCTTGCAGATGCTTCGGCTACATGTTGCTGCTTTAGGGGCTTCCCCCGATCTGAAAAGAAATCAGGTGAGAACTTCTGTTCTGTGTATTAATTTTGTGTTTTGGGGTTTTTCCATTTGTAAATTATCTGATCATGGTGATCCGTAAACATAATTGGTGCTTTGATTGTTGATGAACTTCTTGCTGCTGTTGTTGTGAAGATACATTGGAGGCTGGAGATGTCAATGATTTCAAAGTTCATGTGTTCAAATCATCATCCGAGGTGAGAACTCGAAACCCGCATTTTTTTTATATCACAGGCTGCCCTGGTTTATTTCAGCCATGTAAATTGTGAACCTTGTTAATTTCCTATGGCCTTGAATTTTTCAGTGTTCGCTGTTAGAAACACAAAGACTGGTCTAAATGTGTTATGCATACAATTATACAGGACAGTTGTTTTGTAACTTGGTTTCAAATTATCTTTAGTGTATGTGTGCGAGCACGAGTTGAGTTCGAAAGAACTGAGTTGAGAGCTTGAGAGATTCTTAGATAGTTGCATTCTAAGATCAATGGCTTGTTAATTAAGTATAAATTGATCCATTTATCCATTTTAGCTTTTATCATTTAGCATTCTGTTTTGGTGTTTTAATGTGCTTATTGTTTTGGTGTTGATTATAGTGTTTACATTTTGGTGTTTTAATGTGCTTATTGTTTTGGTGTGGATGTTCTGTTGCAATATGCTAATGCATTGCACTCAAGCTTTCTGACAATTTCTGTATGAACGCTCCAACAGGCACCGATCACTTTCTGCCCATTCACAGAGAAGCTCCTGCCTTTGTTGAGCAAGCAACGGAGCAGCAGATCCTTGTTCTTCAGGTGCTACTTCATATAGTGTATTACATTTCAAGAACGCTTAACGTTTATGAAATGTGATTGTTGTGGCATGTGAATGTCAATTTCTTTCAGAAGGACATTGGAATTAGGTTGCTTTCTTACGCTGTAGGTCTCTGGATGGAGCTTGTTGTTTGGGGGATCTGTTCTTAGAAAAACCAGGCACTGAGTTGGCCGTGGCTTCATAAGAAGTCTAGGCATAATTTTGGAGGAAACAAAAAAAAAAAAAAAAAAAAAAAAAAAAAAACCGAAACCGAACCGAAAAAAACCGAACCGAAAAAAAAACCGAACCGAAAAAAACCGAAATAAAATTGAACCGAACCGAACCGAACCGAAATTTCGGTTCGGTTTCGGTTTTGAGAAAAAACCGAACCGATGAGAACCGAACCCAGCCCTACTGCGTACTTCTCACTTTTCTCCTTAGTCTCTGAGTTTTTACCTGCCTTAGGTTTTACCATAGTGAGGTTTTGTGAGTTTTACTACCAAAGCATACTTTCTTTAAATTTGAGACTCGCATTCGCTTGTTGTGCCGACGACTTCATCAACCGTTCTACCTCAACTGCTAAAGACCTGATGCGAAGTTTTGTTTGAGTATTTACACACTCAAGGGGGAGTGTTGTAGTCCTATTAGATTATAAATGTGATTGTGTAAATCCTAATATATCTAGGGAGATCTTGGAATATTCCCTTTAGTTTATATTATCTATTAAAGTTGTAATCCTATTAGGGTAAGAATTTAACTTATCCTACTACTATAAATAAAGGCACAATAGGGTGATACAACACACATCTCAAAATTAAATCTCTCTTTTCTCTTTCTTACCGCTGGCCCTCTCCCTCTCTAGTCCTAAATACAGTAGACTAAATTAGGTCTACAACAAACACATAAGTTTTGAAAAATAATCAAAACTTAGACCCTATATAAAATTATAGCTATCCTTTCAATTTTATTATAATTATAAGAATAAATTACACAAAACTACCTCAATTATAAGTCACAACACAATCTCATACCTCATGTTTTAAACATTACAATACCATACCCCAACTTATGAATTCGTTGCAACCTATAATTATAACAAAGGTGGACATAAAATACTAAGCTAAATTACACTTTACCACCTCAGGTTTGAGGTCAATTTCAATTCTTTACAACATCTTTAAAACATTTCAATTTCATACCTCAAGTACTATTTTATTTCAATATAATACATCTGTTACATTTTCCATCCATTGATCCGTTAAGAGCTGACGTGGCTGTGCCACATGGCAAAAAATAATAATTTTTTAATTGTTTTTTTAAAAAAACCTAAATCTTCTTAAAAAAAAAAAAAAAAAACCAAACGGAAAATGCAGAACCTAACCCCCACCTCACCCATCTCTCTCCTTCTTCTCCAACCCACCAACCCCTTACTCTTCCATCCTCGCCCACTGACGTCTCCATCCCCGCAAACCCACCGCCTTGCCGCCGCCACATTTTGGATCTTCGACCTGGATCCCCATCAACAAAACCTTCTTCCTCGCTGTCGACTTTGTCGTGGAAAGTCAAATTCAAGACGGGCCTCTTCGCGGCATCGTCAGGTGGGTTGAGAGGGAAGAAGAAGCGGAAGAAGAAGAGAGTGGAGTGGGTTTTCCGATCTCGAAGTCCTGCAAGGGCCATTCTTTCTTCTAGGTTTCTTGCACTTTTGTGGGTTTTGTTTTTGATTCCATTGCCCTTTGATTTCTGGAATGGATTTTCTGGAATTGAAAAGCTAGAGAGAGAAGGGAAGAGATGATGTGGAGTAGCTCAAATGGGCTGGGTTTTGGGGTCGAGGGAGGTGAAGAAAGTGGAGGAGATGCGTTAGGGGGGGGTTGCGGGGGAAGGGATGGGATTCTGGGTTTCTTGGTTTTTTTTTTGTTTTTTTATTATTTTTTATTTTTTTGAAGATTCAGTTTTTTTTTGCCATGTAGCACAAATGTGGCAACCATGTCAACTCTTAACGGATTAATGGATGGAAAATGTAACAGATGTAGTATATTGAAATAAAATGGTACTTGAGATATGAAGTTAAAATATTTTAAAGATTTTGTAAGGAATTAAAATTGATCCCAAATCTAATGTGGTAAAGTGTAATTTACCCAAAATACTAATATAGCCTCAAAATCTAGCGCGTGGCTGGGGTAAAGCCATCTCCAAAAGCTTTTACTCCCAAAGCAGAGTTGACCTCGGAGGAGCTACCCTGAATCCAAATTCCATATCTGATTTCTTCACATTGCTGTTCCTCCATCCTCAACCCAAATTCCACATCTGATTTCTTTCAATCGTTGCTTCATTTTTAAAGCTTCAACTTCTGGCGGAACACAGAAGACAAATCTTGAACCCAAACCGCACAAATCACCTGAGAAGTTTGAGCCCTAATCCCAGAAGTCAATGTCAGACTTCCCACCGGAGATACTGTTCGACATCCTATCACGCCTTCCGCCCAAGGATTTGATTCGGTTCCTCTGCGTTTCCAAAGCTTGGAATGCCCTCATCCGCCACCACCGCTTCATCGAAGCTCATCTTCAACGCTCCATCCAAACCAATTCTTTTCGCACCATTTTACTCGAGTCGAAAGATGACTACCGCCCATCAAATTTCTTTTCATCGGCTTTCGACGACAGTGAAACGTTCGGGCCAGTCGTCGAAATTGAGCTGCCGTTGAAATGCCCTGACGACTATACTGAGATATTGGGCTGCTCAATTAATGGTGTGGTTTGCGTTCACAACGGAATGCGTAAGAATCTTGCTTTGTGGAACCCGTCAATTCAAAAGTTCAAGAAGATTCCTCTCCCAACCTTTGAGATTGAGCTGCAGGCATCCTTATACGGGGTCCCTGAATATGGATTCGGGTACGATTCAGCTAATCACGATTATAAAATTTTGGCAATTGTGAATTTTGATTGGACGGATGATGCTACCATGAGTTCTCAAGTCAGTCTTTATAGCCTAAAGTTCAACTCATGGAAAAGGATCCCAAAATTGCCTTGCGATGGTTTCTATGTGCAGAGTTGGGATGTGGTGTTTTTGGACGGTGCTATGAGTTGTTTGATGCGGGAATCAGATTCAGAGAAATATCGATGCAAAATTGTAGCCCTTGATCTTGCCAGTGAGAAGTATATGGAGTTTGGCACCCCGGTGGTGGATGAGGATGACAATTTAATGATGAGTTTGAAGGTCTTAGGAGGCTCTCTATGTATTTGTGTTCATCATTATTTTGCAAATTCTGATATTTGGATTATGAAGGAATACGGAGTTACAAAATCTTGGACCTTGCTTTATTCTTTTGAGAAAGGAGGTATGCCTCATGTCGGATTTGGCAAACCTTTGGTGTTCTCAAAGAACGGTGAAATGGTTGTTCTTGTGTATGTAGAGCGGACCACCGTTGTTTTTCGGTGTGATTTAAAGAAAAAGAGAGCCAAACAAGTTCGAATTTGTGGTCTGCCAACTTCCTTCGATGGAACCATTTGTGCGGGCAGCCTTTCTCTTCTTGACGGCGATCAGATGACCATTGGAAGGCAGCAGTAAGTCCCTTGTATCTATGATAAGTGGACATTTCAAGCGGTGAATTTATCGATCTGGTAGTCCAAGCAATAACAAAAGAAAAGATGATCCAAATCTGTGAACTTGTGCGCTCCTTCCCTTATTCTCGGCTTATTGATCTTTGTAATGAATCCTTTTCTTATTATGGTAACCGTGTGTGTTAGTTTGTTAGTTTGTAAACTTGTGATGTGATGTTTTCGTTTTGGTAGTTCTAAGTCTTTGTTTTATGTCTATTTGGTGTTATGGTGTATGAATAATGGTTGAAGTGCTACAATTTCATGCATCTAATAGACAATGTTCCTCACGGTCTTTGTTCTTGATGTCGATCTGGGAAGCAGCAGCGAGTTCCCTGTCATAACAAGTAATGTCCATATAAGCTGGATTCATTCATGATTGTAAAACGTTCCCTTTATGACTTGGGTAATCGGAAATAGTAATAGTAACCCGGCAGGGTAGACAACCAAGGACGTGTGTGTATACCCTTTGTTTGCTGCTCACTTTTGCTTTTGATTTTCTGGAATCTGGGTGCCACTGATTTGGATACTGATTTTTTATTCATTTTTTTTTTTAAATGTGAATGGAATTTCGTAGGTAAAGTGAAAATAAATGTGCGGGTGAGAAAGATAACCTTACTCGGCAAACACTATAGATGGGCTGGAGTTTTTCGCTTCGGATCTCAATCAATGAGAAGTAGACAGTTTAGAGCAATTAATGTCAAGTTTACTTAATCACATGGTATGCAAATAAGAATGAATGAGATACCACGAGAGTCGGACTTAAGATCTTCAAGTGAGAGGAATACTACTAAATATTAATACTTTTGATGCACAAAATCTGGTGGACGTTGAGTTAACAAAAAGAGTGGCGAAATGACCTTTGCGAGTGTGCTTTGGTCGAGACGAGTGTACGTGGTTCATCCTAAGTTAGACTACGTCCACAAGGTTAGAGATGCATTCAATTGATTCTTTTGATCGTTTAGATGATAATTTCCACACCTAAGTCCTTGTAAGGCACGTTAAACTATAATTTTTCTCCAAAATTGTCTACCTTAACATACAATCTATCCTGATTAAGCCTTTAACACATAGGATTCTTTATGTTCCAGAAAACAAGCGAACCAGGAAAATCATTACTTTGTGAAACAACAATGTAATTTATCACACTTAAATAACAAAAAGCTAATTGAATTGTATTGATAGTTTAGCTTCAAAATCATCCCCAAATATTACTAAATGCAAAGCCCTATGATGATCAAATCTAGTTTTTGTTTATTTTCGTTTGTCCAAACCCTATCTTGGTGGGAACAACACTTGGACTTGTAAATCACTTAGCTACGACATTCTTATGCAATTGCAAGTTTACATCTAGTTAAAGTTGTAACGACCCATCCCGGATTTGTACGAAATGAAAGGGCAATTTTGTAATTTCACTTTGGTTAGGAGAGATTTTGTAAATGGTTGCTTTGGGTCTTGTTTAGTGTGCAATGTGGGGTCATCCTTACACTTTGGTCCCCGGCCCACTCCCTCTTCCTCTCTTCCCCTTCCCGTAACTTTCTCTGGGATCTCTTTCTTTTCTCTTCACTTTTCTCTTCTCGTTCTCTCCCTCTCACCTCTACTCTCTCTCTGAACTCAACATACACAACTCACCACCATCACCCTTTCCCCTGCAAGTTCCAGAAAACTTGGAATGAAAAAAGGACACCCTTAACCTCTCCGTATCTCGTTGCACCGTGGCTGCGCCACTATGTATTTCCTTCTCCGACGAACCCTTGATGTAGGTAAGCCCTAGAACCTTTTGGGTTGTGTTTTAGGATTAGATTAAAGTAGGTTTTAAGTTGTTTTCACTTGTTAGTTAGAGAAAACACCTCGAGAAGACACTCCCAGTTCTTCGGTGAGAACCCGAGACTTCTAGGCCATTTTTTGGCCAAGACACGGCTCCAAATTGGTACGAACCTCTTCTTCTCATTCTAAGTTTCATTTCCATGGCTAGAACGTAAAAAATGGTGAAGAAATGAGCTCGAACAAAGCTCTGCCTAGATTCTTGCCGACCCACTGCCTGAAACCGGGTCGATCCGACCCGTTAACCAATAATCCGGCCCAAACCTAACTGAGTAACCTGACCTAAACCCAACTACCTAACCCAACCCAACAAACCAGGCCCAACCAATAACCAGTACAACCCAAAAAACCCAAAACCAAGATCCAACCTAACCCGACCGGTTCTTAGTTTCCAAGTCAACTCGTGGATATGCGAGTGGGCCTGCGCGTGAGTGCCTGCCATTGTCGGCACGTGGAGCACATGCGCTTCCGTTGGAGGTACTGTGCTCCACCGCCACCATTGCCACCATAGCCCACGACAACACTGGCGACTTTTTTGGCCAACTTTCTAGCGAACCAACTTGGCGTGTGGCCTTCCGGGCTACCACCCCATGACGGCACATGAGGGTACTTGAGGTTCCCCTTTAGGTTTGTCGATGTCCTAAATCCGTTTATGACGTCCTTTTTCCCAAATTCAATCGTTTTAGTAGAGTTTTATTAATTGGTCCGTTTATGTGCTTAGGTGCGTTGTTAGTGGCATTTTTATCTTCTCTAGTTACATGGCTCTTCGACGACAAAGTATCTGTGAGTAGACCTCTTCCAAAATGCATGAATAAATTACTAGAAATGCATGCATGAAAAACATGATTTAATGACTACGTTTTATGAAACTTTTATGAAGTAATCGGATTTACGATTCATGAATTATCATGCTTTATCATATGAATATCTTACTAGAAGTAAATCCAGTGAAGCATGATATTTCATAAAGCCTAAAGCCAATTTAATCATAAACGTTTCATAAAACGTAGTCATAAAATCATGTTTTTCATGTATGCATTTCTAGTAATAATATAATGCATTTTGGAAAAGGTCCACTCACCTTACTCTGTTGTCGAAGAGCAGTGCAAGCAAGAGAAGACGGAAACGCTACTAACAAACGCACTAAAGCACATAAAGGGACCAACTAATAAAACTATACTATAACGATTGAATTTGGAAAAAAAGGTGTCATAAACGGATTCAAGACGTTGAAAAACCTAAGGGGGACCTTGGGTACCTCCACACGCCACCCTGCATTGAGTTAAGTCGTCGGAAAGTTGGCCAGAAAAATCGCCGCCACCACCGTGGACGGCAGCTAAGCACAATACCTCAGGTAGATGCGTGTATGCTCCACGCACCGCCCAAGACAGGTGGCCACATGCTCCTACGTGCTGACCCATACTTTGGTTGGAAATTGGGATCCGATTAGATCAGGTCGGATCTAGGTTTTAGGTCTGGGCTTGTTTCTGGGTTTGGGCATGAGGTTTTTGGGCTGGTTTTAGTGGGCCGAAGGTTTGGGTTTGGGCCGGGTTACTCAATTGGAATTTGGATTCTGGTTTAAGGGTATTGAGTCGGGTCGACCCGATTTCAGGCCGTAGGTCGGTCGGTTTTTGGGAAAACCTTCAAATGCTCATAACTTCCTCAATACTCTACCAAATCAAGTGATTCAACTCAACGAGATGAAGAGAATGATACCTTCCACGACAACTAACTCGTCTTGGTTTGGTCGAAAAACGCCTCGAACCAGAAAACTGGGGAAGCTTTCCCCGTGAGATTCCTACATCCAAACATCACCAAAACTTCTCCAAACTACTTCCAAACCTACACCAAGACACGATCTACAACTTTTGGATGAGGTTCGAGGCTTACCTTTGCTAAAGGACATGAAAACTCGTTGGAAAACTCGGTGAACGGTGAAGGTACTATGCAGCGAGTTTGGAATGGTTTGGAAGCTTTTCCTTCGATTTTGAGTTCACCAGGGTGATGTTGGGGATGTTGTTGTCGTTATTGTGTTGTTTGTTTATGTGAAAAACCCTCGAGATGGTGGTTTGAGAGAGAGCTGAGAGTGTAGAGAAAGAGATAAATGTGAGAGTTGTATGTGGGAAAAAGGAAAGAGAGAAGAAGAAAGAGTGGCCAGGGGACCAAAAAAGGAAAGTGGGCCCCATATGGCACACCAAACAAGATCCAAAAAGCAACCATTACAAAATATCTTCCAACCACAATGAAATTACAAAATTACCCTTCAGATTCATAAAATCCGAGATGGGTCAATACAAGACGACATTTGAATGTCCGAGGAGTTGAAACTCTGTTGATAAGAAACAAAATTTTCTTGCCTAAGGGTAAGAAAGCTAAAAAAAAAAAAAGGAAAATTCTTGACGAGGCTCACATTTCAGCGTATGCCATGTACGCTGGAAGTACAAAATTGCACCACTGTTTTCGTCCACTTTATTACTGGTATTGTATGAATGGGATATTGCTAAAGATGTGAGTGAATGTATGTTTTACAAGTAAGTGGAAGCGGTGAGATGGAAGTCGTCGGGCTTGTCTCAATTTCTTTTTATTCCTGTTTGGAAGTGGGAAGAATTTCCATGGTTATCCTTTTTAGGTTGTCAAGGACCCAAATTTACCTCCTGGTACTAGAACGCATTCTAGTCAACTTTGGGTTTGTGCCAAAATTAAAGGTTGTGGATCTCTATGTTTGGTTGAGTTTCTAACTGGAGGAATCATTCCCCGACCGCGAGCTAGCATCTACACAGAAGTCCATCTGCATCACAGTTGGTAGTGAGAAACGAAAGTTGTATTGTTATTTTGTTGCAGCCATGGCCTCCGAAAGATGACATTCATGTATAACCAAGAGGGGGCCGAGCTACTGACGAATTATAGTCATAATCTAGCTGAATTTGTAAGAATTGTGATTTAAATTCCAATGCTTTCGAATCGTTATAGTGTTAAGTCACTTCCTTAATTTCAAGTTTATGTTGAAATTGTGTGTGATTTTATGATTTTCGCAGCGAAACTGCTTAAGCTGAAAGGGTGTTCGAGAGATGGGTTTTTCTCCGTCTCCCTCTTGGGTCATCAAAGGACTTTTTTTTTTGGTGAAATTAGATACTTAGTTTTTGAAATAATGCAATACAATATGATTAAAGAAAGAAGATTCTTAAATGATCCACCTTTGTTCCCTTTTTTTTTGAATATTTTGTTGTTTTCAAATTTCGCTATGCATCCTGTTTATGTCCATCAGTTGGCACTCCATGGTATAAATTAACTCTAAATCTTTGTTGTCAACTGTTTTCTGTGTTTATTGAATTACAGAAATTTTGCTAGGTTTAATTGTTTTTAATTTTACGGTTTAATTGTTTTCCCCTATTATGATCGAGTGGTAAATTAGTTGAATTTCATTGAGAATGAATAGTTAAATGCATTTTCTTAAATATCTTGCAGT